AGCACTTTCTCCCGCTGCCAGTGTGTGTGTGTGTGCGCGAGTGTCTATGTGTGTGTGTGTCTGGTTATGGCTCGTTATATGCGTGCGTGTTACTGCGCAAAGATGCCCCATAAATTTCGCGCGTTTTCGCCTTACATTTTTATTCTCGCTTTTTAATTTTTTTGTTATATTTTGTTTCGGTGTATTTTTTATGACAAGGGAGAATGGCACAATTATTTTTGTTGCTCAAAGTTTTTTGCACTATATATATTGTAACGAACTGCTTTTATTTCTCCGCTCGCTACGTGAACGTGCGGCTAGCTCAGATGAGTTTGTGTGTTCGTCCCACCAAATTTATTGATGCGTAACCCCGAGACCAAAGTATAACACAGAGTTAGGTTAGATTTAGGAATACTTGTTGGGTTTATTGTACGTAGATTTATATCTCGATATTTGGTTCGTGGTTCTGCTGTTTGATGACTCGATCTCCCTCGTCGACGCCGGTAGTGGCTCCCACGTCGACTCTCCGGCGGTACGCCTGTCGTGCGTCCTCTGCCTTGCCGAGTCTTTCGGGCACCGGTCGCGTATTAGGCACGCTACGAGCCTCTCACAACCTTGGAGGATGTTAGGCAGAACCTCCCTAGCGGGGCTAAGCAGTGATGCCTGCAGTCACCACTCTTCGCTCCACCCCGGAGTTCGGTCGGGACTTCGTCGGCCTGGCCCTCAGCAGGTTCTCAATCTCTCATGAGCAACCGACGCCGGGTACCTTTCGCACAACTCCGCTGGATCTTCGTCGGCCTGGCCCTCAGCAGGTCCTCAATCTTTCATGGGGTACCGACGCTGGGTACCTTTCGCACAACATCCACTGCCAAGACTCCACCAACTTCGTCGATTTCGAGACTCGTAGACGCACCCTACAACTTACCTTGTACCCTCGGGATCTCAGCTTGGCAGTCTCAGCTTATGTAGACGTGACCGTCGTTGGGCTTCTTGACTCGGCGATCTTGATTCCGGATTATTTGGCACTTGGTATTCTCCTTGGGGTTTCACTCGCGTTGGTACGATCTCGTTGCACGACTTCACTTGACTGTCTTGGCGGGTCTTGACACGACCGTCCTCCGAGGCGGTTCCTTTCTAACTCCTCGCGTTGATACGGTCACTTGCACGACTTTCACTTGACTGTCCGGCTTCCTGCACGCGTCCTCCTTTTATATGCCACCCTGGTCCCGTTATTTCCCTCCTTCGGTGGCGTGATTGGGTCCAAAGTGCAGGACAAGTGGCGTGATCGGGTCCAAAGGGCAGCACAAATCCCGTTAGTTCACGGTCTCTCCTCTTTGTGCTGGTCCAAAGTCCGCCAACTTCACCGTTATAACGGGTACAAAGTCCAGAACTTCACCGTTATAACGGGTACAAAGTCCAGACCGGTACCGTTAGTTCACGGTCTCTCCTCTTTGCGCGGGTCCGAAATCCGCAGACTCACCGTTATAGGGTCCAAAGTCTGCAGACTCACCGCAGCATTGAGTCCAAAGTCCTTCGCACCGTTATTTCCCTTTCTCCTCTGCATGCCGCGCATCCCGCTGTTGCTATGCGGCTCTCCTGCACTCAAACTTGTAAGGCGTTTTTACAAACCCTTACATCTCCCCCTTCCTTCGGAAACTTTTAAAAGCTTCGGGCTCCGGAATGTCCTGGGGAAACGTTTTCAATTTGCATCCTTCCCACGTCGACCTCCACTCCTGAGTGCGGCCAAGGGCCCTCTGGATCTCAGCCGGACAGTCTCAGCTTAGTAAGGCATCTTGACTGCGGCGTCTTGACCTCCATGGCTCCTTGCGCGCACACCGATCCTTCCTTGATCCTTGTGGCCGCTGCCACTCCCTCGTCGACCTCCTCCTGCCACGGCTGAGAGCTCCTCCAACCTCAGCACCTAAGTCTCAGCTTATGTAGACTTCCCGTCGTTGGGCTTCTTGACCAGGGCATCTTGGCTGTCGAAAACTCTTAGCGCGCGACTCCTTCCGATCCTCGTTTCAAATTTGAAAAGTCTCCCGCGCAGAATTTCCCCGCGCACAATCGATAACTCGTCTATCGATCGTGGCGTTGCCACTCCTCAGGGTGCCGTCATATTCAGTGTGACCGGCCAGCGATGTTTCCAGTATTTTTTCGCTCCCATCGATCGCACTATCGATCGACCGCCGTTATCGTGGCGACCCCATTCCCAATTTCAGCTGGCCTCGTTTGTTTGTTTTGGTAAGTCAGAAAATTTTTAAATTCCCATTTTCTTCGTTTTACCATTCTCCAACTCTTTCAGCCTGTCGCGCTGCCGATGCCTCCTTAATGTTCATGCGCCGGGGCGCCAACCCTGGCCCAGCGCGTCCCGGCAGGCGTCTCTCCTGGGCAGCTGACCTCCTCTTCTCCACTTCCACCGCATGCCAGGCCGGCGACGGAGACAACGGCACCAGCGGGGACGCCAGTAGCTGGAGGACCGGCGACAAGCGCCGGAGCCCCCACTTCGCCCTTGGCTGTTCCGCTGGCCGCGGCCTTCCGCCTCGGCCTGAATTGTTGCCGCTGCTGTAGTTGTGCTGCTGCTGATGCCGCTGTTGTTGCTGCTGCCGATCCTCATGTCGTTGCTGCTGCTTCTGCAGACACTCCTGCCGCTGCTGAAGTGTCCGGCCGTTTTTTTTTCTCTGCCACGGCTTGTGCATACATACCCTCCTCTAACCCGCTTTCGCGCTCCAATCGTGTACCCTCCTCTGACCCGCGTCTCGCGCTCCAATCGCTCGCGCTCCATAATACGTGTGTGTGGGAGGCACTGCATCGATACTCCGTATCGTCCTCCCCCTTCCTTCGGAAACTCCGCAGTCTCCGACTTCCCCATCTCAAATCTATTTTCTGGTTTCTTTGGTCTGAGTATCACGCTTGGGCGCCAGATGTAACGAACTGCTTTTATTTCTCCGCTCGCTACGTGAACGTGCGGCTAGCTCAGATGAGTTTGTGTGTTCGTCCCACCAAATTTATTGATGCGTAACCCCGAGACCAAAGTATAACACAGAGTTAGGTTAGATTTAGGAATACTTGTTGGGTTTATTGTACGTAGATTTATATCTCGATATTTGGTTCGTGGTTCTGCTGTTTGATGACTCGATCTCCCTCGTCGACGCCGGTAGTGGCTCCCACGTCGACTCTCCGGCGGTACGCCTGTCGTGCGTCCTCTGCCTTGCCGAGTCTTTCGGGCACCGGTCGCGTATTAGGCACGCTACGAGCCTCTCACAACCTTGGAGGATGTTAGGCAGAACCTCCCTAGCGGGGCTAAGCAGTGATGCCTGCAGTCACCACTCTTCGCTCCACCCCGGAGTTCGGTCGGGACTTCGTCGGCCTGGCCCTCAGCAGGTTCTCAATCTCTCATGAGCAACCGACGCCGGGTACCTTTCGCACAACTCCGCTGGATCTTCGTCGGCCTGGCCCTCAGCAGGTCCTCAATCTTTCATGGGGTACCGACGCTGGGTACCTTTCGCACAACATCCACTGCCAAGACTCCACCAACTTCGTCGATTTCGAGACTCGTAGACGCACCCTACAACTTACCTTGTACCCTCGGGATCTCAGCTTGGCAGTCTCAGCTTATGTAGACGTGACCGTCGTTGGGCTTCTTGACTCGGCGATCTTGATTCCGGATTATTTGGCACTTGGTATTCTCCTTGGGGTTTCACTCGCGTTGGTACGATCTCGTTGCACGACTTCACTTGACTGTCTTGGCGGGTCTTGGACACGACCGTCCTCCGAGGCGGTTCCTTTCTAACTCCTCGCGTTGATACGGTCACTTGCACGACTTTCACTTGACTGTCCGGCTTCCTGCACGCGTCCTCCTTTTATATGCCACCCTGGTCCCGTTATTTCCCTCCTTCGGTGGCGTGATTGGGTCCAAAGTGCAGGACAAGTGGCGTGATCGGGTCCAAAGGGCAGCACAAATCCCGTTAGTTCACGGTCTCTCCTCTTTGTGCTGGTCCAAAGTCCGCCAACTTCACCGTTATAATGGGTACAAAGTCCAGAACTTCACCGTTATAACGGGTACAAAGTCCAGACCGGTACCGTTAGTTCACGGTCTCTCCTCTTTGCGCGGGTCCGAAATCCGCAGACTCACCGTTATAGGGTCCAAAGTCTGCAGACTCACCGCAGCATTGAGTCCAAAGTCCTTCGCACCGTTATTTCCCTTTCTCCTCTGCATGCCGCGCATCCCGCTGTTGCTATGCGGCTCTCCTGCACTCAAACTTGTAAGGCGTTTTTACAAACCCTTACAATATGTGTGGTCGACTTTGTCTAAATTTAATGACTTTGGCAGCTCTCGGCCACTAAATCAAATTGTTATTGCCCGCTCCTTTTTCATTTTGTCACCTAAATTAATTTTACGATGTCTGATGGGGCAAGTGTCTGACGACGACTTTTTCAGCTGGCTAAAGTGAAAAACTTTCAAGACTTGTTCGCAATTGAAACAAACTAATTAACTGAAAGGGCTTTAAAAATCGAAGGAACGAAATGGGCTGCGGAATTGAAATTGCAGAGAGACAGGAAGAGAAGAAAATTCCGGTGTGCGAAAGTCGAAGGCGACAAAGTCATAAATTTCTTTCAATAATTCAGAGACAACTTACTGTGGCAAGAGTAACAAGAAACTTTATGCTTTGTAAATAAAAAAGAACAATTTTTGAACCTGCAACAAAATGTTAAATGTTTGCAAACAAAGTAGTTGTCTTTGAACTCCATCACTGGCATTTATTTTAAAATATTTGCCTCACAAAATAGGAGGCGGTAACCGAGTGAATATTTACCGCGTATTTCAGCACTTTGGCACACAGTATTTATGGCGCGGTGCTGTAGTCAAATATTTTTCCACGCACTCAACTTACGCACGAATGGAGGGACATTTCCAGTGGCACTGGCAGTTGGCGATGGCGATGGCGGGAAAACGAGGCTTTTGTTTGCATATTTTTTGGCATAGCACTTAACGCCGTGGCAGAAACGCAGAGCCGACCACAATGCCCAGGTTCAACATGCCAGCCAGGCAAACTCCGGCTGAACAGTCCAACGGATCCGGGGACGGGCTTATCCATGGCTCTCTGGCCAGTTCGGTGGGCACTTTATGTACTCGCACTTGCATTTTTTCATTTCCACATTTAAAACACCGCATTTCCCCTCCACCAGTTTCTGTTTTTTTGCATTGTACTCGTATTTATGCTTTTGTTTTTCGCATTGCCAACGTGACGATGACGGGGCTCAGGTAGCGTTAACACTTGTTTAAAAATTTGTTATTGGATTTCTTTTGTTCGCATTGTTTATTTATTGTGGCAGTCGGCGGAATGGAGAGTGACAAAAAGGACAGATAGTGTGCGAAATGGTCAGACAAATGGGGATCGGCCAGCCCGGAGATGGCTGACAAGTTGGCCGCACGTAGGTCACGAGTTCCCCATGCCCCATTCTCCATTTTCCATTTATACCCCTTTTTTTATTTTTTTCTGTTTTTTGGCTTGTCCGGCAGCGCCTTTGTCACTTTGTATTGGCTTTATCGGATTGCACGTAATATTCCTGACAAATTGAATATAATTGCGCTTAAGCTGAAAAGCGCATTAAGCAAATTGAATACCATCCTCTCGTTAAGGTATCGAAATTAATTTTAAACGCCATATGTGCAAAAAGAAATCCCGCAAACAAAAGTTTCTCTTTGATTGGAGGTGTTTAATTGGAAAAACGTAAGCCGATCACATTTGTGTGAACATACATATAAGTTCTTACGAACGTAAAATGTTATTAAATTATTGGCCAACCAAATTTTATTCTCTCTTCTTGTTACTCATTTTCTACCTTGGTGACATAATTTAAAACATTTGTTCGAGAAAAGTTTTAAAGATTAAAGCCTGGATACATTTTCTGACATTGGCACATGTTTTTTTTTTGTCTGTCGTCGACAATAAAACATTTTATAATTCACCTTTTCGTATTAAGCTAATTAAGTTGCCAACAACTTTGTTTTGCTCATTTCATAATTGAAACGACTACACTTGTTACTTTGTCTTTGCTCACATACGGAGTATGAACAAGAACCTAGTTTGCGTTGGCCAGCAAGTGAATTAAGTTAATTAGGAGAGAATGAAATATGAGAAAAGTTGGCATTCAAATACTGCAAATGCCCCGTAAGCCAAGTGGAGTGTTGCCATGGTCGTGTTTCTGTTGCCGAAACATAATATTTGGAGCATTAAAATTCAGGGGGAGCTGAGCTGGAGTCACGTTTTATACTTCAACAACATTTCCGCCTGTTAAATTTGCCGGCCATTACAATTGCGTAAAATTGTTTCTGTTGTCGCTTGAATTAAATGCTAGCCAGTGTCTGGTCTGCGTTTTGGTTTTGGCCAGGTCCCGACCTCTTTTCCTGGAAAAGCAGATACTGCGAACAGCTGCGAGTAATTTTAATGGGAATATTCATTCGTGCCCACAACGGAGACAAGCGGCGGTTGAAAGATTGCCGTACACTTTCCACTTTCACCGCCAGCACTTAATGTAATGTAATTTGGATTCTCTCGGTTAATTATTCAGGAAATTTCCAACGGCTTCTGAAATGGTTTATATCAGTTAAACGCACACTTTGATGTCGCGATTTGCCAGGACCTTTAGTTGGCTAATTTTACACTGGCTCTGGTTTTCGGCGGGCTAATTAAGGTTCCTGTAAGAAGTCCCAAATTCAATTAGTTGAATATGCCAAGTATGTCAAGGAGCAGGCTGGCTTCCCCAAACGACAATTTTTCAAAGACACTTTACACATTTTTGTGCTATTTCGATTATTTTGCTTTATCGCCTCAAGCTCCCAGATTGAGACATTCCGCATTAAAAATTAAGCTAATTTCCGCAGCGCCATTAGGGAAATGTCACGACCAAATTTAGACTACTTTGATTCTGGTGACGCATTTGATCTTAACATATAATTTGATTTGTTCTGTCAAGTATGAATATTTCCTTTTTTCACGCTTATTAGGAAGCCGTCTTTTGATACCAATGAAGTTGAAATAAGGAAGAGCCGGACTGTATTTTCTCGTGGGAAAAAACAAATGTGTTTTACTTCTTATTTCAAACGTTTTGTATGGTTTTTTGTTTTGTTCTAGCATAGTTCCTTTTAATGGTGTTTCATAATTATTTTGTCCTATTTAACTTTTGCTCCGAGAAAGAATAGACTCTCCAAGTTTTGTGTACTGCACTCCAAAGGTTAAGAAAGCCTGCAAAGAGCATCCCTTTGTCCTGGCATAATTTAATCGCTGGCGGGAAATAAAAGACAGGTGCGTGGTGCTACAAAAAGCGAGAAATAAAAAGTGGAAAGCAGGGAAATCCGCATTAACCAAAAAGGCATTTAGGCGCGGTGGCCACGCCCACGCCTGCTGCAGAAATTAAAAGCAAATTTCCGACACTCGAGAACGGCGCTCAGTCCGCCGGATCCCGGATCTCTCCTAGCCGTTTGGCAGTTTTATGAGCCGGCTTTAAAATCACGTTAATGATATTTACAGCAGCGGCTGCGATGGGGAAGCTGAGCTGCAGACTCGCAAGTGGAGAGCGCCAGACTCACTTCGGCCTTTTGACCAGAGACGCTTCCGTTTTCCGGCCCCCTCGACCGTGGTGTTAACTGTGTGAATTTCCCGGCGTCGGGCAGAACAAGTCATTTGCATAACAAAGTCCAACGAAACGCCTTCCACTCCCACACACAGACACACACACACCGCCACACACACACAGTTGGTATTTACAACATTTAAATTAGACATTAAATTTGAAAGATGGGCTGCCAGGGAACTTTTCCCATTTCTCTCTCAGGTGTTCGCTTCTTTATTCGGCCTTACATTCCCTTTTTTTATATTTTTCTGCCAAATTTATTTAAGCTGCAGATAATTTTTGGTCTCGGCACTCGGCGAATGCCGCCCTTGATTTACTTATTTACTTTGCTTTTATGGCACTCGAATGACATTCCGCCTTTGTTGTTGCTTGTAATTTGGCCTGTTGTAGAGTGTTTTCTTTGGGGTCGATTACGGCGATAAGCGTAATTCCTTCTTTTGGCCAGAACGAGACCAGTCTATATATTAACTTATTGGCAATTACAAAAGAAGATAGCAACTGGAGAGTCAGCAAGTTCGAAATCGTAAATACATTCCGGGAGTTTTTCTAGTTTAGTGTGAACATAATTCAGGGCAATTTATTGATATTGAATTGGTTCCGCCAAATGGTATCCTTATTTAAAGAACATTGATTGTAAAGAAGGAATTTCTAGTCATGCGAGAAAAAATATACCATCAGTTACTTATTAAGATGATTTTGCTTTCATTTTTGTTTAAGTTATCGCAAATGAAACATTAAACACCTTTATCTGTGCGGAAATCCCAGCCCCGCTATCTCGTTGTTGGATTCAACTTCCTTGTCTTTTATTAAGCATAACCTGCTGCAGATCATATTCAAAATATGCCCACTTATGGCCATTAGACTAAAAGCATAACAAAATACAAGAGCCGAGAGCGCAAATTAATTCTCATACAAAAAGTTTATCGCTTCTGTCCATTTTGGGGGAACCCCGGGCAAGAAACTTTACTATGAAGACGAAGGGGGATAAGGGGAAGGGGGACCGGAGAGTACTAAGGAAATCAGCACATTTGGTTTTAACGACTATGTTCCCCACAATTTTTTCTGGTAACAACAAAGAATATGCTTCACTGCTGGCATATCTTTTCCTTTGGTTGTTTTCATCTCGTACTTCTATTTTTTTTTTTTTTTTTGAGTCCCGCCAGCTCGTTATTGTTGCTTTTTAATGTGCATTCGCTGTCGCCGGTGGTGCTGGTGGTTTGGGTGGTGCTATTTGGCTGCCATTTGAACATTTCAGCTCTACCAAACGTCACAGAACGAGATGCCAACTCTCCTTTCAAGGGGTATATTCATATTTTAAAATGATTTTGACTCCAGATGAAATCCAAATATAAACAGATTCTCAACTTGGGACTTTCGAGGAATCATGCCATGATATATTCTATGGTGATATTTCTAGATTTCATTTAATATGCATATCCATTCGCATTCATAAGGCAATCAATCTTCGGCTTTCCTTCTGCCGGCTGGAATTCCTGCTCCTTTTCCCTGTGTGGTGATGGCGGTGTCCTGTGAATTCAAGCAGCTGAGCAGCTGAGCAGCTCTTGAAATATTCAGACAGATGAGCCGGCACAACCATCACCCACAGCAGCAACAATGGCAATGCGATGATGGCAAACTGTTATTATGCAAACAAATTACATGGCGGATATTTCACTGAGGGAAAATAAACGGGTCGAGTTTCGGAATAATCTGACTAAGAGATTTAAGAATGTAAATTAAAACTTAAAATGTGTGCTTTGATTATACTGTAAGCTTCTGTGGTAATTTTTTCGTAATAATTACAGACTTTATAGCTTGAAAACTTAAAATAAATCGTACATTTCTTGCAGTGCTGGCAAAACTTTGAAGATCAGAAACTAGAGTTTCCTTGTGGTTCCTATGCGTATTTCAGAAGTTATTATTTAGCCATTTCGGCGAATGCTTCAACCTTTTTTATTGCCCAATGTAATTAAAATATCCAATTAGTGCATGGAGCGATCTGCATATATGTACGCCGTGGAATTTTATGAGCTCCGGCTCCTGTTGACCACATAACTAATGACCAGAAGGACAGCTCGAGTTTGGCCGGCCACATAAATTCCCTTTTGGGTAAAATTAATAAAAATGATTGCAGTCGGTGGCTCGTCGGCCGTCGCCTGTCCTCCTGCTACGTACATTGAATGAATGGCGCATGCCAGCTGTTGGCCAAACACGCTTTTGATTGCCAACAACAACAGCAGCAGCAGTCGAGGAGCCAGAAACTACAAACCAACATTGTGCGGCCCCAAAACAAAACATCAGGAAGGGAACACCAGCGGCAAAAAAAATGGAACCCGTCTTTCATCAGCGCGTGCATAACAAGCAGCTCGGCTCAAACTAAAGCTGGACAGTCCGTGGAGTGGGCCAAAACCATGGCAAAGGAATGAGCCAGGACGAAGGGACGTCCTGTCGCTCACTTGGCTAGCATGGAGAGCCATTGGGATGGAAGGCCTCTTCGCCGGGGAAACCATTTCGGATGTCCTTGGTGTCGCTTTCCTTGTGTCATGCCACTGCAAAATGACAAACAGTTCGCGGAATGTGATGTAAACTCAAAGCAAACTCGAAAAAATAAGACAGGAGCAGTTTGATAGAGGGTAGACTAAAATATACCTAATCTTGCTTACCAAGATATAGTTTAAAATTAGTATTCTTATATAAAGTCTTTAAAGTAAGTCTGTTGTGTTTAGTCAAATGAAGGTAGGTAAAATATTCATAAATGCAGTTGAAGAATTTTAATCTATAAAAAAGTAATAATATCAATTATTGAAATAAAAAGAACATTTTTTCTTTTAATAACTTAATTTTAGAAAATAAATTAAGTGCAAATATACCTTCCACAAAAAGTACATTAATCTGTAAGCCTAGCGCGTCACGAAAATTCCATTTGCAGAAGACTGTCTTCGGTGAAGAACACTTAGTGTGACAACCAGCGAGAAATCCTCAATTTGTGCTGCTTTTTAAAGCGCCTTTTAATACAACATGGTGCCCAACAATTGCTATGGCCTTTCAGCCACTCCGACCATATTGCACCACCCGTATACCCGCGAAAGCAACCACAGTGCTTATAAGCACTTCACATCTAATCAATTATGCCATCTGCACATATCGCTGGGGCTTTTAGAAAAGCACATTGGCCAATGGCCACATAACATTTAAATATGCATGAAGATTTTAAAGCACCGCGGAACCAAGGAGCCAGCATTCGGCGGGGAAAAAAAGAGATAAAATATAGCCGTAGAGCCAAATGAAATCGTAAAGGATAGCAGGAGGACCGACAAGAAATAAACAAAGCACAAATAGAAGAAAAAAGGAGCGCATAAGGATAACGTTGGCAACTCCAGAAGCCCAAACAGAGACAGGACTCTCCAGCTGGAGTGGAGATGGGATCTGAATCAGAATCAGGAATCCGACACAGAAACGGCAACAGAAACAGAAACAGCAACAGAAACTGAGCAGAAACAGGAACCAGAGCCAACATTGCATGGCTGATGGTGCGCTAATTCCGTTAGCAATTTCACTTGCCAGCCGGCAAAGCGCACGGAACACGAAAACAAAAATCAAGCAAATGGCCAAGTCATCGCCTTGGGAATGCTCTTTGAATATGGCTGTAGAGTTCCTATTAGAGCTTGTACAGAACTAAATAAATACGACAATTTCGACATTTGCACAAAATAAAAATTTAAAGGATCTTCTGGAAATATGCAAATTTAAATACAAGATGGGGGAATCTTTAGCAAACTATTAATCAGAATAGGTCATCAAATTATCTAGTGGTAAATAAATTGTGTTACTTACATTCAAAAAGGTTGAATAAAATTAGCATTTCATTTAACAGTTTGGATGTTACAAACTCAGATGAGAAAGTTACTACTTTTTTACGAGTAAAACTCCTACAAGTAAAGTCAAATAAAAGTAACAAAGTGGTACCATTTTTTGGTGCTCCAAGTAATCAACTCGAGACGCACATATGCGTAGAGTTCTTGGCATAGATATTCGCTTTCCGGGCAAACGAGAGCAAACATCCAATGTCTGGGGATAGGGAAACAAACAAATCTTACGCTGCAATGAAAAACGAGGCGAAACTGCTTAACGGCTGCCGTTTTCCACTGCCATTCGTCCTGTCAAATGTGCGAAGGACGAGCCAGGGAAAACAACAAAGAAGCCTGAAAAAAAGCGAATGAAATGGCCAAACAAATTGTATTAGTGCGGGAGTGTGTTGGCCACATTGCAACAGATTAACGTGCTTTACTTGGCTTAAGCATTAGCAAACAGCAGACTGAGGCACAGATGGGAAAACGGAGGAAAATGCGGAATAACTCTGCCCCAAAAGTGGACGCCGCACAAAAGTAACGTTAATTGCATTGAGGGCACACACACATGTGGTCCTAGCTGCCCCCCAACTTGCCACTATTCACATTACCCTCCTTTGACATCAACAAAAATTTTAAATAAAAGAAACCACGCACTCGCTCTCTTGTTTGCCTTACTTCCTTTGCCGGCTTCCTGCTCCTTGTATTTATTTACATTAATTGGATTTCAATGTGTAACCACCACTGGATTCACCCGATATAAATTGGATACAAGAGCCGGAGTAAAGGCATCCTCAAAAGGCTCAAAGGGAAGCTCAAAGGACTCAAAAAGCTTAAAGGCAAGGAAGGTGGTCAAAAACCTTTAAATCTGACAAACCCCAAAGTCTTGATTTCTTCACATATTCCCATTAAAGTCAGATCTACGTACACATAACTTTACTTTAAATATTAAGTGCTTGTTTTAATATGATTTTAATATGCTTTTAAAAATTAACTTTAACTGCGGTGGATAAGCTTTAAGTCCAGTTTAAAATCAATATAATGCCAGCACAATCCACTCAATGACGAGATTAGAACTAATGGTCTAAAATAATTAAGCGGCCTCTGCAAACTGGCTAAATCACAGGGTCCTTGTGGGCTTAGTTGAACAGATGATGTGGCCCTGCCAACCATGTTGGCCAAAGAGTGTGTGTGTGTGTTTGAATGGCAGGGTATCCTGCTAAAAGGATATGCAGGACTTATACTAAGTATGGGGAAAGCCGCAGCCAAGTGCATCGGCGACACTAACAAATGAACACTGCTTTGAGCCATGACAATAGGAAATATGGAGAGCGGAGTGGAGGGTGAGGAAGTCGAGCATATTGAGCGTAAAACCAGAAGATTTAAAGGTACATGCACAAAGATGATACCACTTAGACATATGTCTTTCGCCCGGCTCCCTCACAATTTATGGTAGCAAAAAGAGCAGCCAGCCAGCGAAGCGTCATCAAAACTGGCCAGTGCAGTGCAAGCCTTTCGCCCACCATCCATCATCTTGGCAGCTTTTGCATAGACCAAGTCGACTCCTTTGGCAGGAAAAGATGCCGCCAGCCGGGTGCTGGAGGCTGGAAGCTGGGAGCTGGGCGAAAGGGCAAGAGAAAGCCATTTCATTGTGCCAAGTGGCTGTTTATGATGTTGTTGCTGGCCGGAAGTTATCAGTTGCCCCGGCTCAGGACGAACGACTCAGCCTTAGGTCCAAAAGCTAGGCCAAAACCAAGACCGAAAGTCAACTCTGCGTGTTGCCCCAAAATGTTGTTAGTTTGCCATTTTGTTGCCTCACTCTTTTCGTTTTTATTTTTCTCGTTGGCTGGGAAGGTCTGCTCTAACTTAAGGTAGTCACACTACTGGAAACTTAGCTTCAGTTTAGTTAACAAAATTAAAATGTTGCAGAAATATTTTAATAGATATCTATAAGTACTAATTTATGAAATTAAATTTAATTACATTTTATGCTTTTACATAGTCGTATACCTACAAATGTAATAATTACATTTTTACTATAAGAATAATTTTAATTATTGTATCTTTTGGAACTCTTCACTTGACATTAAACCATAGCAAATGAGAAGTACTACTAAACCGACTTTAAGGGTACATAAACTTTCCAAATTGTTCCTAAGCACTGCATCATTTCTTTTTGCCACCCTCTGGGCTTATCCAACAAATGGTTTTCTTAAATTGTTTGCCATTTTCCATTTTTACTCCTTGCAGCTAAGTTGTTGGTGTTGTTGCTCCTAGGGCGGCGGTTGAAAGCTTCCTTAAATAAATTTTTTGCAGTTTACAGTTTCCGCATTTTGGTGTAAAAGACGAGGCTCAGCCGGACAAAATAACAAGTCGATGGTAAAAAAAGAAGCATCCGCTTGTTGTCCTGGCCAAAGCCAATCATCAGGAGCCCCCAAAGTCCCAGAACCCCGGCTTCCTGCTCTCGTTCGCTTTAACAATGTTAATAATCTTATTTTGTGCCTCAATGGACTTTTTCCTCCGCTCTTCTTTGGCCGAGCCAACCCTTTGTTCGCAGCCGAGAGCAAAAAGCGCAGCAGGAGCAAAGTGTATGCATGGCATTTTATTGCATACCTTAAATGCAATTTTTGTAGCACAATTTTTGGCGCTGCTTTTTGGGCACTTGCCCCGGGTCGGTTAAAAAAGACCCCTTGGCCAGTGATTTTTGTGCCGTTCTGCTGGCCAATTTTTTTCCTTGCCACTGCCGTTGCCCAAAACGGCAGCCTTTGCCATTTTTATCATTCCGCGCAAAGTTGCAGCAGCATTTGTCCTTTGCCATCCGCAGCACCACGGGTCCAAAA